CGCCTAATCGGCAATTAACTTAAATCGCTCGATGGCCTGGAATTTAGGATAACCCCGGCTATAATGAAATGAGGTTAGAATGTTTTGTTTTGTTTTTACATTTTAAAAACATTTTTGTCCCCAAAAAATTACTGGAAAAATAGTGTGTGGCGAGGGTGAGCAAGGAGAAATCAAATAAGGAATATGGAGATGGACCACCTATTATTTGACGAGGATTTGGATACTGATAAATAATGATTGTGTTAGATGGGCTTCCAACGCGTTGGAATGAGACGGAAAATTATTTTGAAGCCTTGGATGGATGATCTTATAAACCAATAGTCGTAGATCTTCCGGAAGAGGTGGAAGATGCCCTAACTTAACTTATGAGGCGATTTTCAGCCTGGAATGATTATTTATCGGTAAATACCGTGGTTATTCTTTTGGTTGACAACTTTGACAGCCAAGGGTAACGTCATAGCCCCCCACCATTCAAGAATCATAACCCAAGGAACTGACCGCTGAAATGATTTGGTTATAGCAGTGTAGGATTATGTTTATTATTCTTATTTGTTTTTTCATTTCAACAATAGTTTTTTGTTTATTAGGTACAAAAAATGGAGCTGAATCTCTCGTTACTCTCGTTTATCGAACAGATTTTCTTTGGGGATGATCTAAACCTCGATCTAAACATGGTGAATTGCAGTGAGTGAGTGAATGTATACTTCTTTTATTGTGCCAGGCTTCAACGCAACTGCAAAATCACAAAACACCAATACAAATTCCAAAAATAATAACAATAACATCAAAAAGCTGTAACCAAAAGATTAACCCAAGTCCAAAGCTGGGTTATAATCGGTTATAAGTGGTAAATACCAAAAGCAAATCAGCTGATATGTGACGTCACAACTTCCCCTACTTTGGTTAAAACCGCGACGGCGGAAATGCATTGGTTATAACCAAAGAATAATCATTCCAGGCTGAAAATCGCCTATGATATGCAATTTTATGGCTTGATTCCAGTAACTAATGACTATAGGCGATTTTCAGCCTGGAATGATTATTATTTGGTTATAACCAATGCATTTCCGCCATCGCCGTTTTGAACCAAAGTAGGGGAAGTTGTGACGTCACATATCAGCTGATTTGCTTTTGGTATTTACCACTTATAACCGATTATATAGCCAATTTTAAGCGAATAACCACAATTTTGTGGTTTTAACCGCGGTTACGCTTTGGTTCAAGATGACAGATCACTTGATGACGTCATTCCATTGTATTCGCTTAAACGCGTTTGGTATTAACCGCGGTTACCCCTGTTGTGTTATTGCTATTTGTTTATATTTTGAATTTTGATTTCTTGCTGGCCGGAAAATGGAAAAGAGGAGAGAACTTGCCTTTTTATTTGGAGATGTGTTTTTTTTGAAGACAGTGCGGAAATAATTGATTTGTTAGGAAATCTACCAATTTGTTGCATTTTTTTTAAAAAAAGGAAAGACATGAGACCGAAAATCATTTGAAACAGATAATACTTGCTATTAAGAGTAAATTAGCTGTTTCTAAAAGCCGGTATTTCAAATGTAATCTTAAAATCAAGATTTACCAAAGGTATCCTTAACGTTAAGGTGAACTTGAAATCAGTTCATTCAGGTAACTTAAGATCCACCTTGAATTAGGGGAACTTTTATACTTTGATATACGGTGAAACTTGTATTAAAGATGACTTAACGTTATTTTAACGTGACATTGAAATACCGACCCAGTCTCCAGTCTCCAACCTGTATTTGGTAATCCGCACCTTCATGACTTTTGCTTAGGGAAGTATCCATAATTTCTGGCCCTTTTTTTACTTCATAATACCAAACAAACTGCTAAAAAAAATAAACAACTTGCTAAAAACCCGCCAAAAATGCAATGTCAACAATTCAAATAATAACCGCAAAATAAAAACCACTCCCGAGCTGGGTTAAAACCGCAATTTTGCGGTGATAAGTATGACATTTTACAGCTGATCCATGACGTCACGGAGTCATAACCAAAAGAAAAACCAAAGTCGCATAAATGTTGTGGTAAATACCAATCCGAAATGGTAAAAACCAATCTCGTTTGGTTATTCGCTTAAAATTGGCTATTAACCCAGCTTTGGACTTGGGTTAATCTTTTGGTTACAGCTTTTTGATGTTATTGTTATTATTTTTGGAATTTGTATTGGTGTTTTGTGATTTTGCAGTTGCGTTGTAGCCTGGCACAATGAAAGAAGTATACATTCACTCACTCACTGCAATTCACCATGTTTAGATCGAGGTTTAGATCATCCCCAAAGAAAATCTGTTCGATAAACGAGACTAACGAGAGATTCAGCTCCATTTTTTTGTACCTAAACAAAAAACTATTGTTGAAATGAAAAAACAAATAAGAATAATAAACATAATCCTACACTGCTATAATCAAATCATTTCAGCGGTCAGTTCCTTCGGTTATGATTCTTAGATGGTGGGGGGCTATGACGTCACACTTGGCTGTCAAAGTTGTCAACCAAAAGAATAACCACGGTATTTACCGATAAATAATCATTCCAGGCTGAAAATCGCCTCATGTAATTACGGTAATTACTGTTTATTTCAAATAAAATGCCCAGGATGCTTTGTTTGTTTGTGTATACTGTATGCCTAAAATTTATTCATCGAAAAAAACGCAGATATGGGGTCTCGCCAACCCAAAATTGGCTTTTATCAGGGCCAAATACTGGAACTGATCTTCACAGTGGGAACTGATCCACTGCAAAATAAACAGGTCCTTGTACGGACTCGGAGTCAAACTCGAACTAATCGGATCACGCCGCGCCGGCCAGTGGAACAGGAAAAAGTGTGGACTCGGAGTAGGGACACAGATTCAGAGACGGAGTACATTACACCGACAGACTCGTTTCGATCAACGGCTCCGGATTGTCGGGATCACGCCGCACCGGTGCGGCCGCTGGAACGGATAGAGTACGAGAGTGCACCGCCGATAGGATATAAAGCTGCTTTCCAGTATGTAGCTGTATTCCTTTCAAGAGTTTGAAACACTAGAGCTACTCGCTCCGGGGTGTCAACCCGATTTGAAAGGAACAGATTCGCCGACTTTCGTGCATTTATGGTTTACTTTGGGCTTGAGTACTCAGGTGCAACACTTTTCGGAAGGAATAAGCGCGTAACGCCCCGGAGCTGTTCCGGAGCTCCTCATACTATTCACCATTTTCACGTATTTTCGTTATTAGCTAATCACGGATAATTATGTAATCACGGTAAAAATGTCGGTTCGATGCACCAAAGGATTTTGCACTCAAATTAGTTAATTGTGATTTTGTAATGAGGGCCACCTGAAAGGAACTCACCGATAACGTCGCAAATTTCCTATAGATATTAATAAAAGGCAATAAAAGCCCATTTTGGGTTGGCGGTATGTGGGGTTGGCGAGACCCATTCTGCGTTTTTGTCGATGAATTTTAATTTTATAAACAAACAAACAAAACATCCAGGGCATGTTGGGCATTTTATTTGAAATAAACAGTAATTACATAGTCATTACCTAGTTATTGGAATCAATAATCAAGTCATAAATTTGCATAGAATGTAGGTACTACACCCTATAATAATGATAGGGCATCTTCTACCTCTTCAAGATCTATGATCTACGACATTGGCTTATAGATCAGATCATCCAAGGCTTCAAAATAATTTTCCCTCTCATTCCAACGCCTTGGAAACGGAAACCCATCTAACACAATTTCATTATCCAAATTAATCATTGTCAAATAATGTCTCTCCACCTCCATATTCCTGATTTCAGTTCTTTTTTTCCTGGCTCACTTCACACAAATTTGTTCCAGTTTTTTTTTTACAAAAATGTTTGTAAAATGTAAATATGAAATTTGAAATCGGAACCGGAACCAAAACAAACAAAACACCTAACCTCATTTTATTAACTAGCCGCGGTTATCTTGTTATAAATTCCAGGCCATCGAGCAATTTAAAGTTAATTGCCAATAGGCGAAAAAAACGCTTGGTGCATATGAAAAATATTTTGTGATCACGGCTAAGTCTTAATCAGAGAATTTGTGCAATGGTGCATACGGGCATAAGGTTGGCCCAAATGTCTAAGGAAGGAGGGCCAGATGCAAAAAAAAGGAACGGATCCTAGAAGTGCGTCAGTAATTTTAATGTGAAAACACAGATGGCGCCTGGTGTGGCATAGTTGGCTATTGATTTAAAAATCTATTTTCTGAAAGTTGGAGAACCAAAAGTAGGCACATTAAACAACGGTTTAGCATTCTACCATTGTTGCAACTAAGAAAAATAACAAAGACAAGGTGTACCATTGTTGCACTTGACGAAAATAACAAAGAAGCTAAATCCCTTGAACCCTATTTCATTTTAAGATAACGCCGGTTCATCCAAGCACAAATTTTCTGCTTCATTTGGATTCATCGAAGATGGCGCTATGTGTAAATTATTTGATTTTTATAAGAATATTGACTAGAATAAGTATGGATTTCTCATATTTTATTTAAAACATTATTTATTGTTGTTTTATTTGTGCATTTTTGATATTACGCATGTTATTCATATATTTATCGTTATCGCGTTTCGGTAATAATCATAAAATACCAAACAAAATAACTTCGGCTTTGCGCGACTATAGATAGAGGGGTATCACAAAAATATTTAAAATGGGAGTGGATAAATTGCATTCCTCTCTGCATTTTTCCGTGTTAACGACCGATTAAAAACAAATCAGTAGGTAGTATTAATATTAAAACGATAAAGAGTCAGTACTGGGTAGGCGTATAGTTTGCACTTCCCAGTATAGTATAGAATACAGCATACAGCGTATATGCTGTAAAGTTGCATGTTTAATACGCTAGTCAGTCGCATTCCTTACTCGAGGTTAAACCGACTTGATTGGTCGGAGCTCTATGACGTCACGCGTCCGACCGTTCTTGATAATGTGTTCAACATTCAACATGGCCGTGTAGTTGTTAGTGGTGTGTGTGCTAGTTACAGTGGGGTTGAATGGATTTTAAAAATAAATAATGCCCAGAAAACGGAATGGCGAAATTCCTTTACCCGACGGTTGGGATTTCGGACGCGATTACGATGGAAAAATCTACTTTATCGACCACAATTCTAAGAAAACCACTTGGATTGACCCGAGAGACAGGTAGGATCTGAACCGCATTCCTTTTAATTTAAAAGTTTATAACTATCTCTTTAGGAAAAATTTTACTGTGACAACGCTCAGTAAATGTTCAGTATACTATTTTCTATATTATTTTAAATAGTTTCCCCAATTTTAATTGATATTCTTCATTTTATTGAACTAAATAAATAAACGCACATTCATCAAACATAATTAATCAACCCCTAAGAACCTTCAAACAAATTCAAATGTCTTCTAGTAACATAAAATAAATAAATTTAATGAAATTTAATTTTACTTAAAACTATTCAACTACTTGTCTTCAACATTATTTGGAATGGTATGCTGCTTTCGAAACGATAAAGGTATGCAAGAACTTTGCTACATTAAAAAAAAAACTTTATAAGACAGTGCTGCCGCCAAGTTGAAAATATGCGCATCTGGGGAGAATAAATATTAGATTTATTGTATCTAAAAATATTTACAATCTTTCTATGAACGCGGTTTGCGTCAGGAGGAGAGTTTACATTACTTAGTGCGAATTTTAAATTTGGGTCGATCCCCGATTCCGTGAAGCCTGTTCTATTAACCGGAAAAATGTTTACTGGGGAGGTTCAACTCTTAAATAATTAGTAACTAGCTTAAATTATAGCACCCTTAACTTTTTCATGAATTCTTAATTCTTGCCTTTTTGGAAAGAATTCTCAGTGAGGAAATACAAGAGTTCTTGGCATTTGATTGCTCTGATGACCGAAACGCGCATCCATAGTTCTGAATAGTATTTTGATTTTCTTCTATTAAAAATTTCTCTTTCAAAGCTATAACTCAGTGGTGCTACTACTACTACTAGCAAAACGACAGTTCTCAGCATCAAAGCTGTATTTGAGTAACCAAAACGTTAGTTCTTTATAGGTTTTTCTGGAGTTCTGAATAGCACTAAAAATTGGAAAAAAAATTTAAGCACACATATTGAAGAACACTTTAATAATAATTATTATTGCATTGTTTTTGCGGAATTTCACCATCTGAATTTCATTGCTTTATTATCTTGAATCCAGGGTTTTCCCCTATTTGTGCAGTTTTAGCTAAATTAGAATCTATTGTCAGAAACAAAAAATTATTTTCAGAAATTGGAAATTTTGCCACAGGGTCTGTTCCTTATAATAAGCACGGTTTCCACAAAACTTAAACAAAAAAAAAAAAAAATACGAAAAATAGTTAATACAAAAAGTTGTTGGGTTTTATCATTCTGCAGAAATCACAAACCAGTCGGAGCGAATTTCATTGGTTGAAAACAGTCAGAAACAGTCAGAAAACTAATTTCAACCAATTAAATTCACTCTGACTGGTTTGTGATTTCTGCTGAAACAGACCTATATTATCTTTTGCTCATGTCAAAAGACGCCAATGACAGGTGCCACATGCCACTGACATAATGACAAACACTTGCTTGCATTTTTATGAAACACCCTGTTAGGGTTGCCAACCCTCCCGATTTAGGCGGGAGTCTTCCGCTTTTTTACTAAACCTCCCGTCTCCCGCGCACTTAAACAAAACTCCCGCTTTTCCCAAAAATAGAAATTACATAAAATATAATTCTAAATTACTACCCTTATTTATTTTTACCATAATTTTAATACTTGAGCTGACTGTATTGTAACGGGGGTTTGAGCTCCAAAGAATTCTATGCCGAGGTCCACTTTATTTAAGCCAGGTTCGGTTGACACGGTCCAAGTATACTTGGAGTCTTGGACGCTGCGCACGCCTCACGCGGACAATACGTGAATCGTATTTCTTGTTTATCCTAGTCCGGGATAGGTCCTAATGTCCAAGTAAGTAAGCTGGACTGGAACTCTGTAATGAATAGAGATCGTTATGCATATCGCTATGGCACTTGCTGTTTTCCTTTCTCTTGTCGAAATCAATAGAGAGGAGACGTCAATACTAGTCAATAAAGATAGGGAAAATATCTCTATTCGTTACAGAGTCTTACCCTGGCTGTCAACACTTGGGTTCAAGTATAAGTTGTCTAATCAAAAGCTGACAAAACTTTTCCTCTTGTAATAACTATTATTGGTAAGTCTGGCAACAATGTCGATAGAATTTTTGAATTCGTCTTAAATATAGGATTTTGTTCAAATTGCACCAGTTGCATTACTGGTTTAAGAGATAATGGACAATCCCGTTACTTTTCGTACACTCTGTATAAGATTAAATGTGACAAAATTAGGGCGTGGCACCTTAAACAAATTTTCGCCTGCGGCGAAACATTATCCCTCATTCCCTCCCATTCACTACCTCCTACCTCCCGCTTTTCAATTTTGAAAATCTGGCAACCCTACACCCTGTATATTTTTTGATAGAATGATAGATTTTTTTTCTTCTGATTCCAAATATACCATATCTATATGTTTATATTTAGTTCAGCTGTTTTTACGCTATCCAAGTTTAAAAATGCAACTACATTACCCTGAATTAGGTCTGTTCCCGGTTCCTTGTATCAATGGCGAGCCCTACTAATGCAATGCGCAAAAACAGCCGAACCAAATACCAAATAACAACATAATATATGAGGTGAGTTTGGCTTGGCAAAGCGGAGTTGGAGCGGATAAAGAGCAGTTCCATAGATAGTCACATTATCACAGAGTGAAAAGAGTAAGATGGTTAAGTCGAACACATCAGGACGATTCAGGCGCGAGGCGAGCTTATCTCCAACTGGAACATGTTGTTTTTGCGGATATTTTGGGGAGCGATGCCATTTTTTCTACCAGAAGCCCCAGGAGGCAACCAAGCCCTAAGCAAAACAAAAAAATATCTTTTTTGAATTTTTTAGGTTAGGATCGTTAGGATAGGGAATTATTGAAAACTTTAAACTTTACCGCTTTTTGGAAATATAGGAAGTGTGCATGCCCGCACCTGGAGCTTCATGTCGCGAGGTGGTGCTTGTGGAGTTAACTCTTTTCACTCTACTTGGCTGTACCCGAACGATGAGGAGCTTGCACTATTTGCTCCCAGTGGCCTGACCCGAACGATTTTGCAGTGGAAAGTGTCAAAGGAGTCAAAAGAGTTGCCAAGCCGAACTCACCTATGGTATATTTGGAATCAGAAGAAAAAAATCAATCATTCTAGAAAAAAATATACAGGGTGTTCCATTTTAAAATGCAAGTCTTTGTCATTATGACAGTTGACATCTGCCATTTTCCCGTTTTGACATGTGCAAAGCAAAAGATAATTAAGATAAAACCCTACAACCTACAACTTTGGTATTTAACATTTTTTTTGTATTTCTTCTTGTTTAGGTTATAGAAGCCCCACTAATTATAAGGAACAGACCCTGTACCAAAATAAAAATATCCTTCGAGATATCCTTGCTTCCAGTTTCAAAATGTCCTATTTTTTTAATAAATAATTTTTAGTTTTTATTTATTAATTTATTTAATAATCCGACTGAAATCTTGCAAAATATTGTTCATTCTCGGTTGCATTGATAAAAAAAATATCATAATAGACCTATCTCGCATGATTAGAAAAAGAGAGCTTAATTGTAATAAATACAAGTTAGAAAGCAATAAAAGATGACATGCGCGCGCAACTCGTAGGCTGCTGTGTAGCCAGATTGTATTGTTGCAGAATAAATGTAGACAATACAAATCGAATATTATAACATTAAAGAAGTGATATAGTGTCAAGTGTTTTACAATGCCTTATATCAGACAAAAGAAGAGGTTTAAAGTGGATGAACATCGTTTGCACTTTTATTTTGATAAATGTTTCCTCCGGCAACATGGCTCAATGAAATTGCAAAGGAATATGTCAAGTATAATCTTAAACGAAACTGTGGTGAATTCAAGTAATATGTAAAGAATTAGTTTGCTCTTTGTCAAATTACACGTTACAAAGAAAGAAGGAACAATTCATTCTGAACTGGCCCCTGAATAAGAATATGATGCAAGCCTGTCACAAACTTGCTTCTCATTGGACGCTCACCTGCAGCCTACAAGCGACGCGCAGTCCAGGTAAAGATAGGTCTATTTGCCATATTCCCACACGTGAAAGTGGCCCATTGCAATCAATTAGAATTGAATGTAAAGGCACCTTCACGGTCGTCAAGTTGGTTATGCCCACGTCGCCATCTTGAATTATCAGCTGATTCGAATTGCCTTACTAGACAATATAGGTGTGTTTTGGTTTGAAATTTGGAACGGTTCTGGGAGTGCGCAGAACTGCCTGCGCACAAAAAATAATGGAGTATTAGAACAATCGAGAGAACAATACTAATTCTAAAATTCAGAACCAAAAAAACCAAAACAAACCGCTTATCACAAAATTCCAAAATAGTTCCTCCTTCACAGCAAGAACTGAGAGAACTTTATAAGTTCTAAAAAACCAAAACGCTGTCAACACAGTTCAATTACGATTGTGAAAAAACGAAAACGCGTTTTATAACATGCGCATGTCCAGAATGATTCCGAACTATGGTTGAACCTAATCCAAGTCATTTTCATTACGACCTATCAAATGTCCTCCATGCGTGCTTGGTTTTGGAAATGGTATAGTTCTGAGCATAGGTTCTGAGTGAATCCAAAACAAACCTAATGCGACGTTGCCAATCTGACTATCGTGATTTCTTAAAACTAAAATGACGTCAGGGCATAGATCCTTTCTCAGCAATACAACAGTAATAGTATATTGTTGTATTAGGAGTAGAAGCTTTACTTTTTTGTGCTGAAGCAGTAGGTTTGCGAGCCGAACGTAGTATGCAACACGCAATTTTTTCTCCAAACCAATGGGTCAAACTCGGGGATAAATGAATGGTTGAACGGCACTGAAAGTACTTTTACTGCCGCTGCGGTTGCCTAGCAGCATAGAATAGTTATTTGATTTACTAGGCAGAAAAGCACAAGATTTAATGCCGTGGCTGGTGTTTCATAGCTGAGGCTAGGAAACCAGCCAAGGCATTAAATCTGATTTTCTGCTGTGTGAAACATTTAAATTTTTTTCCGAATTTGTTCTAATTTCAT